AGTCTACCCAGAAAATATACTAGTCAGTGACTAGCTCTCTCTGACTTAAAAGTCAGAAAGGGATTGTAGACTCTAGCTCCTAGTTGTTGTTTAGACATTTTTCAGTTGTGTCCAACTCTTTGGGACCCCCCTTTTGGGGGTTTTCTTGGCAAAGATACTGGAAAGATTTGCCATTTCCTTATCCAGTTCATTTTACAGATGATGAAACTGAAACAAATAGGGTGGCTTCCCAGAAATTCCTGGCCTTAACTTTGGGGGATTGGGGAAGTCCCTGGAATAGTCTGAACATCACTTTAATTGCCTTCTCATTCCAACTAAAGTATCCTCTCCCTACTGAGGCCTTTTCCAAACTGCCTTCTACCAAGGAGCCACCAGCTACTGGGACAGGGAATGATGAGAAAGAAATGGGAATCAGAAGCCAAGGTATTGGGGTTAAATAGAAATAAGGTCCTTTACACTCTGGTAATTAACTCTCCCTCATTGGAAGGAGGCTAGTAGATTATTCTAGATTATGGAATTTTAAAGCTGAAAGAGAGCCTGGAGAACATCTAGCCTAAATTCTTAATTTTATAGATGTGGAAACTGAGGCACAGAAAAAAAATGAAGTGATTTGTCCAAGATCAAGTAAGAGTTGGGAGATCATCCAATATAATTTCTATCTGGAGAGAGATAGACTGAGAGAGACAAACAGAGAAAGAGAGAGGGACAGAGACAGAGACGAATGAAGGAAGAGAGGGAGGGAGAGAAAAGGAAGGAAGGAAAAACTAGTGAGAAAGAAAGAAGAAAAAAGAAAAGAAATGATCTAGGACAGGGGTTCTTAACCTTTTTATATTAGGGACCCCTTTGGAAATCTGGTGAAACCTACAGATTCCTTCTGCAGTTAAATGACTAGTCCAACATCAGGTAAGAGTTGGAATTCGAATTGAGGTCTTTTAATCCCAAGTTCAGGAAATCTTAATAACCATTTTCTCACATTTGAAGGTACGTCAGGCATTGTAAAGTTTTCATGTCTAGGAAGTTCCCTCTGGCTATAGTCTCTATCCAAAATAAAAATTGATACCAGCAATGAGACTTAGAGGCAGGCAGGCATACGAACTATACCCCTTTCAACAGCACCATTTCCCCATCTCAGTCAAAGCAAGAATAGGTTGGGAGAGGGTTTGTCTGACTTAGCTATCAAAAGCAGATTAATGCAGCATGTGGAGGTGTCCAAAGCAAATCCTCCCCACAGAGACCTCTTTCATTGGCATTTATCTGTTTATTAGGGGTCACATTCATTCCCTAACCAGAAAAAAAAACTGGCAGAGGATGGAGGGGAGAATCATGACCCTGACTGTACTTCTGGGAAACATACTTTCTCCTGTACTACCTTCCCCTTCTTCCTTTGCCTCCCCACCACATAGATGTGGGATAGGATATAGAGTTGTTTCCTTGATTGGATTCTACTAGGAGAATAAGGAATCTGTTTCTACTGTGGAAGCAGGGTGTGATATCCAGCTCCCTCCCCTCCCTCTCCACTCCCACATTGCATGAATATGGTTTTCAGATCTTTCATCAGCCTTCCTTACTCCCCCTTCTCCTGGATATTCCAGAAGGGGACACTGGCAAGGATCCCCCACTAAGCCCTGGACAATGCTGGTGTAGGAAGAGAGGAATTGAGGTAGACGGGGAGAGGCCAGAGAAAGCCTTCATTCCTGGAGCCTGAGTCCAGCGACACCTCTCTGGGGCTGTTATCAGTCAAGAATTTCATGTGTATACGTTATCGTCCTGTGGCTCCATGTATTTATTGAAGGGGCCCTAGTCACAGGACACTCTGAAGGCAGACACATCCATCCCTGGTACACTGGCCAGGCTGGAGCCCCAGCTCTTTAAATGCCTTTTAAAAAGCACTTAGTGAAGTCAGCCTGGACGCTTTAGCAGCTGAGATGAGGTGTAGCAAGAACAGTGGGAGGGAGGGATCTAGACAGATGCTGCTGCAGGCCTTTTCCAGAGAGTACCTTTGGGTTGTCTCATTTCCTTCTTCCGAAGTTCAACAAACCCATTCCACAGGCCTCCTTACAGCTAATCCTTCCAGGTCATTCCAGAGGCCTTCTTAGCAAAGGACGCTAGAGGAAGGCTTGCCATTTTTTTTCCTATTTCCCCTCTTTTCTCCTCTCTCTGTCCCAGAAGTAGGAGCAGGTCCTGGGTTGACTGAGGAGGGTCCCATGTTTGTACAGGTGCCTACTGGGGATTTGGAAAACTAAAGAGGGAAGGGGCAACTTCCCTCCCCCAACCCAACTTAGAGTCTGAATGTACAATGGCTCAGAGCAATACCCCCCCACCCCCGACTGCTGCTGCCCAGACTAATTACGTGGGAAACATCTGGAATGTGTGCAGGGCATTGGTGCAGGGGGCTGAGGCCTGAGCACAGCTGGATCTGACTCCATTTTGTGTGTCTCTCCCCACGTGAATACAAAATGGTGGCCCAAAAGACAGCAAGATCCCTTTCTTTTCCCTTCAGAGAATGGGTACAGCTTCCCCTCTCCATTCAGCCATTTGTCCCTTCCAATCCCCACTCCAGCTTCAACTTTATATACCCCTAGACCACCATAGGAGGAGCTCAGAGCAGAAGCAACTCTAGGTTCCCAGATGTGCATCTGAGAACACCCCAGTGCTAGGGTGTGTCTGAGCTTGAAACAAAAGTAGACATTAGGGATGCCCCACACACTTCCTCTCACTCTGAGCATGGGGATGAGGGGGGCTAACAGTCTACACATGTTAAAATACTTTTGATTGACATCTGAGACAAATTCTTAGATGTCTTTTTCAAAGTTCCTAGGCTTGTAATTGGAACTTCATCTCTCTTTCTTCTCTTTCCACAACCATTGAAGCTCACTTACTCTGTCTACACTGGCACAGCACTGGTTATAGGTCCAGTATGATTACTTTTCCTCTGTCCAGTTTTCCCTCTAGCCCTTCCATGTGGTCTCCCCAAAGGCCCTGGCAGCAGACCCAGCACCCATCATGTTTGGTCCATCCTTGCTTTCTATCCTCACCAAGTAGCCTGCTCAGCCTTCTGTGTTGTTTTTGGAAGTCCAGGCAGCTAGACATACCAAAGCCAACAGCCTGGGTTACTCCAGGAAATAGGTGGTTCTTTTTGTCCATTGATAACACAGTGTGTATGGGGGGGTGCAGAAAAGGAGGTGAGTTTCTCGTGTCTGTAGAACTGGGCCTTGGCTGCCCATGGCCCTGGGTGGGACATCAAAGATGTGAAATTGCAGACAGAGTGAAAGAAAAGATTCCCTTTCATGAGTCAAAGAAGGAAATGGGTCCTCTGGAGCTCAGATAACTGCTCAGGGTGTCAACTACCTGATAATAATGTCCTGATCCCCCAGATCCACACAGCTTTTGTCTACATAAGCTTCCAAGAATGATTCTGGTTCCCTATTCACTCCAGGGAGCTTGGAGTAGAGATGGAGGAGTAGGGGAAGAGGTGGCCAGAACCATTCAATCCAGCCCACTGCTGATGCTTCATACATCATTTGTGGCAAGTTTAAAATCTTGGGCAGACATGTGACCCCTTCCTTCAAACTCTGGTTAGTAAGGCTGCTTTCCTTGTCTTTCCATATATCCATGTTAAGGGAAGGTATAACCATTTTCATGTTGGTCTGAACAAAATATAATTGGGAATATTAATCTACTTTAAATATATACATATGCATATGTAAATATACATATCTCTATCAATTGTCCATCTATTACCTCTCTATCATCAATTTATCCATCCATCTGTTATCTATCTACCATCTATCCATCATCTACTATCTATCTATCCATCTATCATCTATCCAACATCTGTTTACCTATCTCTCTATCTATCTCTCTCTCTATCTATCTATCTATTGCAGCCTGATGTAGTGGCTAGAAATCTGGTCTCAGAGTCCAGAAGACCAGCCTTATCACATACTGCCTGTGTGACCCAGGATAAATCAGTCAATCTCTGTATCCTTGGGCAATTCATTAAGACTATAAGTTGTTGAGCACATTCTGACCTGCATTGATGGAGGGAGTTTTCTCATCCAGGAATTCCCTATCCCAACAAAATCATAGGTCCAGTCTTTATCCTTCCCTGTGTGTATGTGTGTAATTTCATGAGAAGCAGCATGGCATAAGGTATTGAAAGGCAGCTAGGTGGTGAAGTGGATAGAAGGCTGGACCTAGAATCTGGAAGACCTGAATTCAAATTCTGCCTCTGACACATACTAGCTATGCTACCACGGGCAGGTCACAGAACCTCTTCTTGTCTCTGGCAACTCTCTAAGACTATAACTTATAACTTAATCATTGATTTGAATGTTTGGAGGGAGTTGACATAGGCTTAGACCCCTGTGTGTGTTTCATATATTTCGAAACTAAATAGAAATTTTGAAACGATTACCCTCTGGTGTGTTAAGTTAGGCTGCTGTTTCTTTTTCTTTCCTTTTCTTTCTCTTTCTTTTTTTTTTGAAGGCAGTTGGAGTTGAGTGACTTGCTCAGGGTCACACAGGTAGTTAACTGCTGTTTCTTACATTCATGTAGATAATTGAGAGTTGTCTGTAGGCACAAAGATTAGTGTGATCTAAGAGTTTTCACAGTGGCCCTGAGAGCAAAGATGAGCCCTAAACCTTTCCCTGGGTCTGGGAGAGGACTTCAAGGTCATCTGCTCCACTCCATCCCCCCTGAAGTCCTCCAGAATTCAGATAAGTCTGAGACCCATAAACTTGGCATCTGACATTCCATCCCTCCTAGCCTGGACTCTGTGCTTCAATTGGCTGTTCCCGGCCATTGGAAGCTGTATCTCTGGGAGATGGGCATGCAAGTGATTTTGGAAGATCATGTAAGCATGCCTTCCTCAAAGACCTCCCAGTCCTTTTCTCCCTTTCCCATTTCATTCTTCCTAAAGCTCTACATTCATCATCATCATCCTCCATTCCCCATTCTCTACCTGCCTCCTCACATGTCTCCCTTTGACTTTCTCCTAGGAGAATGTTCCCCAGCTACAAGGTGAAGGTCACAGGCATGAACCCCAAGACCAAGTACATTTTGCTGATTGACATCGTCCCAGCAGATGACCACCGATATAAATTCTGTGATAACAAATGGTAAGAGACCAGAGACCCTCTCTGCATTACCCAGTCCTAACCCCAGTTGTGTTATCTCCTCTTTGAACTGATAGGGACTACAGTGAGTTCCTGACTATTCTGTCTGAATTACCCACAGTCCTTTGCTCCTTCTTCCCTTTCCCTCACTTTTGGCCTCTTTACTCCTAGTCTGCCCCTGTTCACCAGAGATGGGGAGGGCGAGGGAGAGTATATTCAACTCTATCTTTTTGGCTACTCTAAGAAAAGACGTAGGGTCAGAATAGGGGTGGGAATGATATTTAGACTAGCAGTAGGTTTCGAGTCCCACAATCATACGATCCAGGGCTAAGTGAAGGGCACTTGGAGGGTGGTAGAGGCTTGTGAGGGAAAGGAAAGCCAGGGATAGGACAGGAGATGCTGACACTAGCTACCTAAGACTGGAGAAAAGGATGGAAATGGCTTTCATTAGGAAATCTCATCATTTACAACTGACACATACCGGTTTTTGTCCACTCAATCTTTATTTCCTCATGTCCCTTTTTATTTCCCAAAACAAAGTAAAATCCACCTGGGTTGGAAAGAGTTCTACTTTTAGACCTGCTCCTTTGCTCTGACTCAGTTTCCCCACCTTTAAGTCTAAGGATGTAGATGGATTTGGAGCTGGTAAGGATCTTCAAGGTCATGGAGATAGAGGGTCATAAATATAGAGCTGTCAGGGTCAGAAGTCAGAGGTCATGTAGTCCAATTCTGCATTTTATAACTGAATAAATTGGGGACCAGAGAGGCTGAGGCTTTCCTAAGGTCAGATAAGTAGTAAATTGTAATCCTGGGATTCAGATACAAGTTCCATGTCTTCAAATTCAATGCTCTTTGCAACACCTTCATTTTCACTTTCATTCAACATCTTCACATTCAAAGGAAACTGAGGCTCAGAGAAAGGTAGGGACTTGTCAAAAGTAAGAGTCACAGCAGAAGTGAACCCAGGTCCTCCGACCCAGGTGTATAACTAGACCCGGAAGTGATGTCAGAAGCTATTTAGTCTAACCTCTCCATTTTATGGGCAGTTAGGTGGCTCCACAGTGCGAATAGCGCTGGATCTGGAGTCAGAAGACCCATCTTCATGACTTCAAATGTGGCCTCAGACATTTACTGTGTGAGCCTGAATAAGTCATTTAACCCTGTTTGCCTCAGTTTCCTCATCTATAAAATGTATCGGAGAAGGAAATGGCAAACTGAGAATCTTTGCCAAAAAAAACCCAAATGGAGTCATAAAGAGTCCAACATGACCAAAAAATGACTGAACTATTTTACAGATGAGGAAAACTGAAGCCAATTGTGTAATATTTTTAAATTGCCACCAGTCCACTCAGCCAGGATGAGTGATGGTTTCTGACCAAGTGGGTAGTAAAGAATTTTGACTTCACTACTAAAACTCTTAGGTAGAGTTTGTTGGGAAGGAGGGCTGAATCTGTAGTGGCTTCTCATCAGGATGTATGATTGAACACCTCCTACATCCCTCAGGGCTCAGGGCAAGGTTAGCAGCCTCTTTTCTCCAGGTAATGCCTCATTTATTCCATTCATTTTCTTGACTGGTCCCATAGCAAATGTTGTTTTCATCTAGCTGTATAGCCTGAGTTTGAGGGAATTCCCAGTAGGATTTGCCAAGGAAATAAATTGAATTTTTGAAGCGTGTATGTGCCTGAATATGCCTGTCTGTGCATGCATGCATGCCAAGTTGAATCAAGAAATCAAGTCAATGAGCATTTATTAAACACCTACTATGTGCCAGACACTGTGCTAAGCACTGGGAATACAAAGAAAGGCAAAAACATAGTCCCTGTCCTCAAGAACCTACAGTCTGATGGGAGACACAACATATAAACAGATATGTACAAACATGCACGTATGTGTGCATGTGTATGTGTGTAAGAATGGGTGAGTGGGTGAATGGAGGACCCTAGTAGGAGAAGATAGGATTGGTAGAGGTGGAGGCAGGGGGATATTTCTCTTTCTGTTCTCAATAAGCATGTGACATAGTGAAAAAACCACTTGGCTTATAGAAAGAAGACCTGGGATATCATGTACTACTTTTTCCTTATGTAACCTTGGGAAAGTTACTTAACCTCTCTGAACCTTAGTTTCCCCAGTTGCAAAAGAAGGAGATTGGATGAGCTGGTTTCTAAATCTTCTTCCACCACTGTCATCTTATAACCATCTGATTCTGAGTTAAGTCTTGGAGCTGGACTTAGGTTCAAGTGCCAAGCACTGACCAGCTTGGAGGACAAGTCTCTGGAAACTTCTCTGGCTCCCCTGCAAGCTTGTAATCTGAATTATCACTAGCTTTGGGCATCAGTAACAATCATGTGTGTCAGTGCAGGAAACCTATCCCATAGGCCTCCTATTCTCTCCTACTTGGGAGAAAAACATGTAGTAAGACAATAAAAGGGCAAAACATCACCTCCTCTGATATGACAAGTTTCTGACAGTTAGTTCATGAACCTGGTTCATTAGACTGTGAGTTCTTCGAGGGCAGAGAATATTTTTTGCCTTTCTTTGTACCCCCAGCATTTAGCCTGGTGCCTGGAACATAGTGAGTGCTTAATAAACACTTATTGACTGATCTGTTTTGTTCAAAGTGGGTTAGGAGCAGGGTCCCCTCTGGGGTTTGCTGGCACCCAATAGTTAACTCGGGGCAGGGGATCCCTAATGTGGGGACTGCTGTATTGGCAGGATGGTGGCAGGAAAGGCAGAGCCTGCGATGCCAGGAAGACTGTACGTGCATCCAGACTCTCCAGCTACGGGGGCACACTGGATGCGGCAGCTGGTCTCCTTCCAGAAGCTGAAACTGACCAACAACCACCTGGACCCTTTTGGGCATGTAAGAGACAGGGTCTCTCCCTGGCTGGTGGCAAGTTAACTATCTGGGCACTGGGAGGTAGGGGTGGGAGTTCACGGGGCTGGGCATCAGCATGACATTCTTTAGACTTTTATTCTCCAAGTTTCATTATTAAGGAAGATGGTACCTCATTTTTTTTTTGCATGCATTTTCTCGATAGGCAATATATCCACCCAACAAACAAGTTTGAGGATTTGATGGAGTACCATACAGGGTTTGTCAGGGAAATAAAATGACATTTTGGAGAGAGAGAGAGACAGAGAGACAGAGAGAGACAGACAGACAGACAGTCTAGTAGATGCCTTTTCAAGCCTTTTCACAACTTTGTTGTGAGATCCCAGGAAGTCATTGAACCATTCAGTGCCTCAGTTTCCCAATTTGCAAAATGAGGGAGAATATTGACTTTATCCATTTCAAAGGGCTTTAGAAAGCAAGGAAGCATTGAACAAATGCAGTGTTTAATTGTCTTGATGCATAGCCTTCTTTGTAAATTTTATTTGAATCGATTTCTTTTGTTTTTCTATTGACTTTATTTCCAAAAATATCCCCCCCACCATCTAGTAAGCCACTCCTTATAACAAAGACTAGAAAGGAAAAAAAAAGTAGCTTAGCAAAACCAACCAATGCATTATAGTATATGCAATATTCCACATCCACAGCACCTCCATCCCTCCCCTCCCATAGTCTGCAAAGAAGGGAAGGAGATGAATTTTCTCAGTTCTTCCCTTAGGGGAGCTTGGTCACTACAACTATAGTTTTGTCTTACTGTTCTTTCTCTTTGTAGTTGTAGTCAGGATATCTATTGTTTTCTACCTTATGGTTTACTTCACTTTGTATTCAGTTCATAGAAGTCTTTCTACGCATCTCTGTATTCTGTGTGGTCATCATTTTTTATGGTGCAGGGATGTTCCATTACATTCAGGTACCACAATTTCTTCCGCCATTCCCCAGTAAATGAGCATTTACTTTGCTTCTAGCACAAAAGTGTCTCTATGAGTATTTTGGCATATATAAGAACTTTTTCTCTTTGATCTTCTTTCTGAGTATATGTGGCTTATGCTTCATATGGATTCTTTGAGACAGATTTCATCATGAAAACAGTTTTTGTGCTTTCCTTCCCCCCCACCTCCAGCCAGGGAATTCAGACTAGCTAAGTCAGTTAGACATTGCCAAATATAACTGGGCAAGTCATTCTGTATTATTAGTGGGAAAAATCAGCTAATAGGTGCCCAAGCCAGAGGGAATGATTTTTGGATTATCCACCATTTGGGATTTTCTACACTGCTGCTCTCCTATCTTTTTGATGCATAATCACGTGTAGACTGTAGTCTGGAAATGGATGATGGGGCATGGGAGGAGGGAAGGGGAGGGGATCTCATGCCTCCAGTTGAGTGCCTGGTATTTCCAGGGCCCTGGGTTCTGTGGGGTGGAGCTCTTTGGCCCCAGAGATGCTGCCCCTGGGCCCCCTTCAATCCAGGGACCCGCCCCTCACAGGTTGCATAAGCTCATTATTTTCCAATCTGGCTCTGGCAGGCCCATTAAAAAAAGGAGCGTTTTATTTGGAAAATCTTAATTCATGTGTATTGCAGATGTAGGCCTGGGGAGTACTCGGTTATCTGCCATGGCACAGAGGGCCCCCGGTCTGTCCTGGCAGTTTTGTGGATATTGAGGATAGAAGATTTAATTGTATCTGCTGTGCACATACTATGCAGACAGAAATGAACCCAGTGTGTTGGTGGTGCTGCTCTGTGTGTGTGTGTGTGTGTGTGTGAGAAAGAGAGAGAGAGAGAGAGAGAGAGAGAGAGAGGAGAGAGGGGAGAGAGAGAGAGAGGAGAGAGGGGAGAGAGAGTGAGAGGAGAGAGGGGAGAGAGAGGGCGGGAGGGAGGAAGGTAGAGAAGAGAGAAGAAAGGAAAAAGGAGAGGGGGGGATGCAGGTGTGCCTCACTTTGTGCAACAGATGTGTTCCTGGAACGTTGTGTATAAGCCAAATTGTTACATATCTCAAATTTCCCTGCAAGAGACATCAGAGAGACTTTATCTTAATTTCGAATGAATCTTCAGTTGACTGGCTCTTCCAAGTAGTGCATTTCTCTGTATGGGCTGCCAGCGTGCCCTCCCCAGGGAGGTAATATTGTGTAAACATCTAGCAGTACTTGAGGAACCGGGTTTTAAAGGAATGGAAGAGATCCTTCTGCAGGGGAACAATCGAATCCTTTATGCAGCCATTTTTTTGTGAGCGTATCTCTTGGGCTTTGCTAGAGTGGGGCCCTGCGAATACAAGGGCCTGTCTGACAAATGGGATCCAACTCAGTCTTACAGACATTTATCTAGCCTCTCCTGGAAGCTAGGCTGTGTGTGTGTGTGTGTGTGTGTGTGTGTGTGTGTGTGTGTGTGTTTACAATGACAAATAATAGCAGGGTCCCTGTTCTTCATGAGGGTGGCCTTTCCTGATCCCTCAGATCAGGTGCCTCCTAATGAAGGATAAAGACTAGCCCTATGATTTCATTAGCGTAGGGAGCTAGCAGCAAGGAACTCAATCTACCTTCTCTGAAATGTGTACTCTTAGGGTAGTGCTTAGAACTCTGAGAGATTAAGCTCACAGCCAGAGGTAGCACATGAACCTAAGTTTTTCCAACTCTGAGGCCACGTCATTTCTCTAACCACTATTTCATGTTATGTCTATTTTGTATGAGAAATAGCAAGGCATCGTGGCTAGAGAGCCAGGCATCAGAGTCAAGAAGTGCTGGGTTCAAATCCTGTCTCTGACACATACTGGCTATGTGACCCCGGGGCAGGTCATTGAACCTCAAAGTGTCCCAGACAAATCTCTTAAGTCCAGAAGGTGCAAATGTGCACTGGTACAGAGTTTCCTCATCTTGAGTTCCCTATACCAACTAAATTAAAGGGTCATGTACTTCCCATTTGTTTTGTATATACTTACATATGAACTTGCTTATTGAATATAAGTTTCCTAAGGGCAGAGTCTTTGTATCCCTAGAACCTAGGATACAGTGCCTGGAATATAATAGATAATTAAAAAAGGTTTGTTGATTTAGAGTCAAGTGGAATGATGCTGTAAGAATACTCAAATTTATAAGCTTAATCACACCTTGACGCCATCTTTTCCCTTTGGTTCTATGATCTTGGTTCCTTGGTCTGTATGACAGCTTTCTCTCATTCTCCTCCAATGGTTCATCTCCCTCCTCCTGTCCCTGAAGTGGAGGTGTCTCCATAGGCTCTGTCCTTGGGTATCTTCTGTTCTCTCTCCACACTAGCTCTCTCCACTGGAGACTTACCTTCAGTTATCACTTCTGGATGACAATGTCTCCATCCCCAATCTTTCTTCTTGAGTTTTGGCCCTCTATGTCCAGCTACCTACCAAACATCTCCACCATCCGAGTTGGACTTTCATTCAAATCCTGTTGACCTTTGGTTCCAAGGCCTTTTTATCCAAAGGGATTGGGCCATCTGATGTTTTAAAGAGGAATTGACCTAGTTGGAGGCCATTACTTCTCTGGTCCTTTTATTTCTTCTCAGGAGCCTTCTTCCCTCCAGTTTCCTGCACCCTAGGCTGAACAATAAGAAAAGGCTGTGCTTATGAACTAATGCCACTTCATGGTTGTTTAGTGGAAAAGGGTGGAAGGATTAGATTAATTCTTTTTGGCCTCAGTGGGCAGAACCTGGAAGAAGCACTAAGGAGAAGTTGCAGAAAGGGAAATGGAGGCCCACAGTTAGGAAAAACTTCCTATCCTTTAGAGATATCCTAAAGTGGAATCCTATGCCTCTTGAGACCTCTTGGATTTCCCCTAGCTGGAAATCTGCAAGCAGAGACTAACTTTTTAAGTTAAGTTTAAGAGAGAAGAATTTGGATTCCGAGGGCCTGGGTTCAAATACTGTCTCTGCCATTTATCACATGTGTGACCTCAGGCAACTCAATTAACCTTTCTTGGGTTTCATTTCCTCATCTGTAAAAGGAAAAAGCCGGACCGCCGGTCTCTGCGATGCGGCTCTGGGACACCTCTCTCTATTTTGGGTGCTTCTCTCTCCGGCTCTGTCTCTCACACAGGCGCCTCAGTAATCCACAAACCCCCAGAGGGGAGGGTACCATTTGGGTAAGAGCTGAAAAGGCAGGATGGGAGGAGTCTGCTTCTGCCAAAACTGAGAAGGGAACAAAACTCTAATAAGGTTTAAAAATGGACCTGGAGGCTCCAGAGAGGGATTTGTCTGCAGCAGCTTTTAATCATGTTTCCCAGTAAAACCGTCAACTCGGCTGGAATTTCGTTCTTTTTTTCTTTTTCTTTTCTTTCTTCTTTTTTTTTTTTTCCAGGGTGGGAGGGGGGGAGAAATCCCCCCCCCTTCCACCCCCCCCCCCCCGAATAAGGAGTAATGGAACGGTCCAAGTTGGGGCTTTTGGACTCTGAGAAGAGCCTGGGAATTTCGGTGGGTGGGAAATTACACTTCTAATGGGGGAGGGAGGTTGGTCTTCACTCCCGAAATACAGGTTTTTACCCCCACCCCTACCACCCCTTGCCTTCCTGCCTATTGGACCTTTCCTCCCCCAGTCTCTCCTCCTGGACATTTTTATGGTAGTTTTGCAAATAACCACTTACTTGGGGCCAGTAAGGAAGTTCTCTGGGCCGTCCTTTGGGAATATCATTCATAACAATAACAATAATAATAGCTAGCATTTATATAGCACTTTAAGGGTAGCAGAACATTTTACATGTGTTTTTTTGTTCGATGCTCACAACAACCTTGTGGGGCAGGTGTTATGATTAGCCCCCATTTTATCAAAGAGGAAAAGGCTACAGAACTGACTCTCCCTGGGTCACACAGCCAGTGTCTGAGGTAGGATTCAAGTTCAACATCTACAGCTTAACTCTAAAGCTCAAAGTCCAGCACTCTATCCATTCTACCACCTGGCTGCCACCCCCAGTTCAATCCATTCATTAAACAAACATTTATGAAGTTCCTGCTGGGTGT